ACGCGTTTCAGAAAGGCGGGGCATAGAAGAGAAACAATAATGTACAGTATGTGGAAAATAATGTGTTTTGTGAACTTTAAACCACATAAACACATTTCATTACACCAAATACACAAAATAATGTTCTTTTTAGCAACATCATATGATCCCTTTAAAGTCGAGCCATATTTAAAGATTTGTTTAAAGGAGTTTTATGGAAGTTTTTTTCTTGACAAAATTTAAATGATAAATCAAATACTGGTAACACTTTATTTTAAGGTGTCCTTGTTACACATTTTACATGTACTTACTATTATAATAACAATTAATTATGCATAATTACATGCAAGTAACCCTAACCATATAGTAAGTACATGCAGTTAATTAATATTACTCGGTACTTAAATGTATAATTACACTGTAACAAGGGCACCTTAAAATAAAGTGTAACCCAAATACTCAAATGAAATACAGTTTGTGTTTTTATATTTCGTTTTGTTATCACTTCATCATTACTCCTTCCTTAATTAAAACTGTATTTAAAGCTTCAAATGATAATTGACAAATATTTAAACCATGCATCAATCAATAGCTATGAGCAGAGCTTATGGGCAGACTAGCCAGTGCAATGGAGCAACAAATCATTATAGGTAACACAGTAAGCTAAATTAAGGCATTTTTAATAAGCGTTGTAGTAAACCTATTCATTGTAATGATTATATATTATATCTTATATTGTATGTGCATCTCGTCTAATTAGTTGATTGAAATATTCCAGGCACATCAATCGCTAAACTTTCTGTAAATAAAATCCGTGGCTGTAGATGTAAAAACTCATATTGACTTATATTTACTGCAATTCAGTCGAAGATTTCAGCAGATTTCTGTTGCTAAAGCAGTGACCAGCTGTAAATGCTGTTAATGTGAAGTGGAAACATCTAGAGGAAACAACAACGTAGTTGTTGATAGGAGCCTCAAACTCATGATGCAGAACTGCTGAGTGTTGGGGAAAGTAGCACATTAACATGGGGTTTACCTGCTTTCAGCACTCACTACAATATCCTGACTATTTCTGGAGGAAATGTCATCACAAGAACTATTCAATGACAAACTAATTTATAATTGACCCTGAAAGTCCCTAAACAGGACTCCATTCTCAAATATAAAACCCAGTGGCACAAATGAGAGGAGAGAATAGGCTTTTTTAAAAGTGAATCTTTTAGCTAAAACAAGTCTACTTTTTCTGTTTCTTGCTTCTCTCATGAACTAAAACAATGAATGGAGCCACAGTTAGTTACAAGCTGAGACCAGACACTATTGAGTTGCTTGTTAGCAGATATCAGGTTTTGTTTTTGCAACATTTGAAAGCATTCTACTTGTTTAGTTGTAGGTGTAGTTACAGGTAAGTGTCGATCACAGACAAACCCTCCTGCTGTAAGGCTGCAGTACATTCACACAAATACCTCCATCTCTGATCTGAAATATTACCCCTAAACGAACAGCCTGTTAAGGTCTGTGTAAATATTAGAGGAGGATTATGATAAGCTTTTCTCAGGAAAGTAAGCAGTCTCACTAGATTTGTCTATTTGGGGTATGCGGTGTTGGTGTAAAAAAAGAGGATAAGGATTGTGGGTAAGAGGCTGGACCAAGAGACATAAGAGGCTGATTCATCAGTCCCCTTCAAAACTCCTAATTCTGGCTGATCCTCAGCAGTGAGTGTCAAATCCATCTGATGGAGTCCAGCAGGTGTACTCTGGTCTGCCAGCAGTTTGGAGACATTTTAAATATGTCAACAGTGTGTCAACACTGCTTTTCTATTACACAAAGCACAAAGTATAATTTTACGTAACTGCTCAATGTGTAGAATGTAACACTGTAAAGCCTGACTTATGAAATAATAGTCCAAAAATCTTTTTTTTGTTTTGTTTTGTTAAAATAAAATATTTTATTCAACCAACAATTAAAAAAAAAATGCATGTGTTTTATGTTTTGTACCATATTTGATAAATAAGGTGTTTATGGTATAGTGAGAATATGGAGCTCATACTTGAAGAGGAAAAAAACACCTCAATTTTATTCAGAAGTCCAAACTGCGCAAAATAAACAATTTGGTGCATATGTTGTTATTTATATGGTCAAAAGTAAGATTAATTTCTGATTGTTTGTAATGTAAATCAATTAAATTTGTATAACAGTATAGTAGACTGCTTGCATTAAATGCATATAAATATCAGTTGTTACTGTATATCTCTCAATAAAACGTGTTAATAAGATGATATTTAAATACTTAGTTTTATGATCAGAGCCCTGTAGTTTTCCAATGCAATATCATGATGATTAAGAGATGTACAATAAATGTTCCTCAAAAGCTTGATGTATCATATTTGATTCTTAGATTCTAAAAAATCTTTTAAGATTTTAGAGCAAAAACACACATACCACAACCTAAAGGCGGACAGTTTTAGAATTATACTAAACTTTTGTTTACTAAAACAGCCTACTAAAAAGTTTTGATCATGCTGATCATTTAAAATTCATGCATCAAACAGGATAAGTAGGCTTTAAGACCCTTTTGGGGTAGGGCCGTGTTTGTTTTGGTGATTTCAAATATCAACATTGGCTACCAGAAATCACTTACTCTGCCTTTAAGTGGAGTACGGAGTTATACTCTAACCAGTAACTTATTATTAATGATGAGTATTTGTATGTTGTTTTGCAGTTGGATGTGAGTCCATTCCTGAGCCGATAGTTGAGCAGGAGGAGGAACCACCGCTGCAGCAGGACGCCGCCAAGTACATTAAAAAGAAACAGCCATCCAAGAGAATCAAGAGCAAGTCGGGTAAGACATGCGGCAGTTCCAACACCTCAGAAAGCCTCACTACTGCACTGATTTAACAAGGTTGAAAAGCTGCAAATTGATAGAAAATCTCTAGATAACCAAGTAGTTGTGTAAAGATTGTGAACAAGTACATTTAGAGTCAGGTTTTGTGATATGTGAGGACACACTGTTTTGTGTATGTTTGTGTTCATACATGTTTAAGCAGGTCTGCAGCACGTGCCTTCATTTGTATAATCCAGAACTGCAGACATTGTTAATGAGCTGAAGATTTGTGAAATGTACACAGAGAAGAGCAATAAACACTCAAAAAGCTTTTCTAATTGCCAAAATCCAGAAACTCCGATTTATGTAAAAATGAAAGAAAGAAAAGAAACATCATTCAAAACAAGTAGACTGCATGTCCTCTGGTAAGCTTAAAAAATCTCATTAGTGTTGGAATGTATGAAATGGGTAGTAATTATTAACTAGTTCTTTGTAATTACTTTAAACTGTTTAAATTGCTGATGAGCTTTACTAAGATGTTTAATCCCATCAGGGTCCCAAAGAAACAGCATACAACAACCAACTGAATAAAACGTTGCCAGATTTACATTCAATAATAGTTTTGAATAAAACAGTACAATCTTTTAGTGGTACTCAATGGACATTTCATTTCCCAATGTCACATGCAAGAAGCAATGTAATATGTTGTAGAAGTGTCATCACAGGCACATTTTTCTGATGAGCCTGTGTTGTTCATTTTAGTTACTACAGTTACTGTTACCTATTTCCCAGATATTGAATATGTTTAGATTTCCATGGATCCTCAGTAGTGCACCCCAAATATTGGAGAAAGCCTGAATGCTCATTGGTTGGTTGTTGCTTTTGTCTTTGAAGAGGCAGATCTGCTCAGACATGTACCTCAGTCGCCAGCTCTCTTCTGTCTGAGTTATTGACAGTTGAAAGTTGAAGTTGAAATGTTCTAATAATTGTTAGCCAGCAATGTAAATGATTTTTTAAAACGTTATCAGGAACAATACTATTTAGAGTATATAGATATACAATATAGAGGAAATATGTAGAGGATAAATAATAAATTGTGGAGAAATCAAATGAAAAAAATCACAATGGTCTTGTTTTTTTTTTATCAACTTGCAATTCAGGGCTTCTGTATGAAGCATGTTAGATGTCAGATCTCTACATAAAACACAGTTTCTTTTTCAAGCATTGCTGTTAGTAACAGAGATATATGCTCAATGAGAAAGATAGGGAGACAAAAACAGTAACACCTTTTATGCTGTTCATCGACTGAACTTCTGATATGAACTGCACAGAAATCACCAGTTTCATATTTCATTACTCATTAAGGATAGTCTCTTAAATTGGTAACCCATGTTAAACAATAGAATAATTTAAAAAGTCAGTGTCACTCTCTGTGGTTTTGACATCAAAACCATAAAATGAACAAATAACTGTGAAAAACATTGCCATAGATCATGATCATCAGTAAATTTCTCTTGCAGAAAAATCACTTGTATCCCCCAACCCCAAGTCATTAACAGAGTTATATACTGTATATGAATTTCACTTAAAAGCGAACTATGATTGGTCACACTATATTCATATTTTATATTTATAATCAGACGTTTATTCCCTGTCAAAGTGTGCAGTTTTTGTCCATAACAAACTCCAGAGTGAAATGACTTCATGCCAGCAGTCAACAGTCTGAGTGAGCCTAGGTAAATCTAAACCACCCTACTGAGAGAACTCCCCGCTGAGTTAATGGCTCTTTTCATAGCCTCTTGCAATTGTTTAATTCAAGGGTGTCAAACCCTACTACCGGACAACTACCGTCCTGCAGATTTTCTGTTCCAAACCTATCCAACATACTTGTCTGTAATATTCAAATAATCCGAAACACCTTGAGTCCCAGGTTAAAGAATGCTCTTCCATCCTTAATCAGTGGGAGTGACAGACCACCAACAGAGGCTGGTGAGATTTCAATCCAACAGTTATGATAGGTGCAACATCTCTGACCAATGTTTAGTTGTTTCGAGTTTGTAAATGCAAAGGTGACTGTATGCAGGGCTCGCAAAATTTCAAAATTGCTGGTAGCTCTTCAGGCAGACATTCTTCAGATTTTAGTAGCCCAAAATGAATTTAAGTTTAAAAATTAAGTTTAAAAATAAATTTAATTAAAAAAAAAAAAGACCTGCTGAACTTCACTGCGGACAAATCAGCATGATTAAAAACTTCAGTGATCGCTTTTTTTCTTCAAATAACAAGTCAAGAGAGTAGGGGTGCAACGGATCACAAAACCCACGGCTCGGATCATATTGCATTATCATATCAGATTTTGAGTAACAGATCGGGTCATTTTGCAGATGAGCAAAAAAATATGGTTCTTTATTATTTAAATAACAGAATACTTCTTTGATACCACAGCAAAAACTAGTAGCATATAGGGATGTTACGATTCACGATACTGATTTCACAATACAATTTTTCTTTTTAACAAAATGAGATTTAAGACAAATTATAAATGAAAAGGTGTCCTTTTATTATTTCTCCAACAAAATGCTGCACATTTCTTTGTGAAATTGAAATATGTAAAATAATAAAACTAACTTGAAATTTTAAAACAAATCCCAAATCAAATAATTAAATAATACAAATAAAATAAATCTCTTCATATAAACAAACTGCTTTGGCTGTGCTTTTTCCTTTTAAAATCAGAGGCAACCACTGCATTTTAATCACGAGCCAAACAAAGATGCTAAATACATGTTATTTAGATTGCAATTAGATTTTATAATTTCAAAATTTGAAGCAAAAACAGAATGGTTTGATTTTAGCTTTGTGAATGAGACGCAAATGTCACTCTCTGACAGCAGGTGGCGCTTATGGAACAGCAGGTATTTATAGGCTGCTGCCCCTTTAAGACCGAATGCACGGATCCAATATAATGATGCACTTGAGATTTCTTTCTCCACTGTTTACGTTCACTTAAGACATAACTGACTGTGTTTACGAGAATACTTGCAGAGACAGTTATTTTGAGATAATTTTGTGTGTATGTGTTCATTCAGATTCAAGGATACGCGAAAGAGGAATCAATTCACATTGTCTGAAACGCGGCTCTCTGTGCGAGCTTTGAATGAGTGCGCGCAGCTCCGAATGCACGTGAATGGTTTAAAACACTTGAATATTTAAATCGGCAAGACTTAGAAACACGTGCAAACGATCAACTACGATCCGTTTTACCCCTACAAGCTAGTGAACAACGCAAATCAAGGAAGGAATTTTATATCACTGTTCAAGATAGCCCGTCGAGCAGGGTGGTGAAACATTTTGGTAGCCCGACTGGAAATCACAATAGCCCCGGGACGTCGGGCTAGTGATTTTGCGAGCCCTGGTATGGTTTTATTTTTAAATTCTTTAAGATAATACATTGAAAGATTGTATGATGTGACCTCAAGAAGACATGTATTTTTTCCTGCCAGGCTATATGATAATTCTTTCCCAAGACATCTACCCGCAATTCAGCGCTGACATGTCGTTCTGTACTCAAATTTCAGGTGGTAGTCCAAAAGAGTGAAAATATCTATGCAATCTATGTTATTGTTATTCTCTAAATGACTTTATTCAAACCACAAAAAGACAAACATACTGAAAAATGCATCTTCCAACCTGGGTGAAGTCATTACGTACATTAAGAAGAGTTTGGGGTAATTTGTAATTTAATGGAATACTATTAGAGCGGCATGGGCAGGATTTTGAACGGTCTCCAAAGTCCAAAGCTTCTCGTCCAGTATAAGACCCCTTCACAAAATTCACCACAAAGACCATTAATTCTCCATCTGTGAACATGTCACTCTAGGCGATCAAAGCCTCACAATTTTGCCCTATAACAACAGAAATCCTTTAGGATCCCAGAAATTTGTCTCAGATGGCAAAACCATGGCCAAAATTGTACAGTGTGCACCAGGCTTTAATAGCAGACACTCAGATTACTCAGTGTATGGCAGGGACGCGGGAAGTAGGGGTGCTGAGGTCCTTTCACCCAACACGGACACACACAGCACCCCCAACCGAAAACATCTTCCCGCGCCCCTGGTGTATGGTGAGTTTATGATGAGAGCCAGTAATAAATGGTCTTTACATGCTGATGTGTGTCATGATTAAGGCTTGATTGGCTCTATATTTAGCATATTGTCATACGGTTTCCATTATAATGCTGGTGCTCTATCAGATAGAGCTGAAACCCGTAGATAGCGGAGATGAGAGGGAAGCTGATGCCCATATATGAGCTCCCACTAAACAGGCCTCATTAATCTCTCATTATGTTAATGTTCTCAGAGCAGCAGGGTAAATCTGCACAAGTTACTCAAGACAAAATAGAGCTACTCACGTGAAGCACACAAGAGACAAGACTTAATGTTAATTCCAAAATATTCCTAAACTAACAAAAACATACTCTAACAAGCATAAAAACACAAGACATGCAAATCTTAGATAAAATGTTTTTTTTTTTTTTAATATTTTAGACTGTGTCAGACAAAAAAAAGTCTACATTATCTCTCAACGTGCACCATCTTGGTTGGATTTTTTCAGCTTGCTGCAGTGCATTCTGGGATTTGTAAAGAATAGAGTGCAACAATGCCTGTCCACTTTTTCAGTGACCTTCCCGAAGGGATTTTAAAAAAGTCTTTGTTAAAGTGTTGAAGCCATGAACCAAACCAACCAGCAACAATGTAAAACACAACATTACAAACTTTGATTTGAAGCAAAATAAAGTATTTAATAATCTGACAAGACTGTGTACTTGTCAAGGGAATATTTGTATGCAAATATTTATGTTGTTAGAGAGTGTAAGGAGACTGACTATATTACGTCATTCGCAGTGCTTCATTTTTTTTTCAGAATCATAGGTAATGTCATTTTCGCTAGGAATTATTTTGTTAAAGGCGGCAGCGTAATGTTGCTAATGTTTGTTTTAAGTGTATTTTTAGATAATGCAT